AAAAGATGGGAGGGGCTTCCAAACTTCCTCCCTGCCGCCCCCCACCCCACCTGTAGAAGGGGTTAAACTGGTTGACCCTGTCCTTTTCTTTCCAGGCCCGGTAGGATAATTTTTTTTTCTGCTTTACAGAAAACCCCAACAAGCCTGAAATTACTCTGAAGCCATCTTCTCCACTTGTCACCTTGGAGTATAACCCCAAAGACTCCCACGTGCTCCTGGGGGGCTGCTACAACGGGCAGATAGGTAAGAAGGGACCCAGGCACGGAGCCAGCAGCCAGTCCCACTGCCAGGCGGGAGCCCACATGCCAGCCTGGACCTGGCCATGGAAGACTGAATGGGGTGGGGACCTCCCACCACTGACCACCTCTGGACACCTGGTGAGGCAGGTTTTGCTGACACCTGAGCAGCGTCTGCAATTGTAATAGTTCAAGTTAAGACTAAAATTAGCTCAAAATAGGCTGGCCAGATAACTCTGTTAGTTAGAACATGGCATTACAGGGGCCGGCCCGGTGGCGCACTGGATAGTGCGCCGCTTGGGAAGCGCGGCAGCGCTGAATGGGGTGGGGACCTCCCACCACTGACCACCTCTGGACACCTGGTGAGGCAGGTTTTGCTGACACCTGAGCAGCGTCTGCAATTGTAATAGTTCAAGTTAAGACTAAAATTAGCTCAAAATAGGCTGGCCGGCTAACTCTGTTAGTTAGAACATGGCATTACAATACCGAGGTCAAGGGTTCAGTTCCCCATACCGGCCAGCCACCAAAAATAAAGAAAAATTAGTTCAAAATAAAAAGTGTTAAAAATATATGGTTCAAATAAAGTCAAAGAACACTTACAGCTGCCTGGGGGGGCAGCCATAAAGCAATGAAGAGATCACTGGGGAGCCCCACTGTGGGAGAGGAAGTTGGGGAACCCCATATGGTAGTGGGTGTGGGTAATACTGACCTTATAGAATGAACTGGGACATGTTCCCTCCTCTTCTGTTTTTTGGAAGAGTTTGTGAAGAATTCATGTTAATGCTTTCAATGTTTGGTAGAATTCACCAGTGAAACCATCTGGTCCTGGGCCTTTTTTTATTGGAAGTTTTTAAATTACTAAATCTCTTCACTTGTTATAAGTCTCTCCACATTTTCTATTTTTTCTTGAATCAGTTTTGGTAGATTCTATCTTTCTAGAAACTTTTCCATTTAATCTAGATTATCAAATTCGTTACCATGGAATTGTTCACAGTATTTCCTTATAATCATTTCCTTCCTACGAGGTAGTAGCGATGTCCCTGTCACCTATTTCATTCCTGATTTTAGTAATTTCAGTCTTCCCTCTCCTTTACTTGGTCAGTCTAGCTAGAAGTTTGTCAATTTTGTTTTGTTTTCAAAGAACTGATTTTTGGCTTTATTGATTTTCTCATTTTTTATTCTCTAATTTATTTCCATTCTAATCTTTATTACTTTCTTCCTTCTGTTTATTTCAGGTTTAATTTGCTCACCTTTTTCTGGTTTCTTAAGACAGAAAGTTAGGTTACAAATTGGATGTTTTGGGGTTTTTTTTTCCTGGCATCTGGCTGGTACAGGGATCCAAACCCTTGATCTTGGTGTTCTCAGCACCATGCTCTCCCAAGTGAGAGATTTTTAAAATATAGGCATTTATAGTGGAACGTTTCCCTCTAAGCATTGCTTTAGCTGCATCCCATATATTTTGCTGTGTTGTTTGCATGTTTAGTAATTTCAAAAATATTTTCTAATTTTTCTTTTGATTTTTTTTTTTTTTTTTTGTCTTTTGTCTTTTTCCGTGTCCGGCAATGGATCGCAACCCTCAGTGTCGCCCCCGCACCGGACCGGGGACCGGCAACGGGATGGCAACCCTTGGCATTGCTCCCGCACCTCGCTCAGCCAGTGAGCGGGAACCGGTCTGCATGTGGGATCCGAACCCTCGAGCAGGAGCGCCACCGCGCTTCCCAAGCGGCGCACTATCCAGTGCGCCACCGGGCCAGCCCTTGATTTTTTTTTTTGACCCATTGGTATTTAGGAGTGTGGTGTTTGTTTTCCACATATGTGAATTTTCCAGTTTTCTTTTTTTTTTTTTTTTTTTTTTTTTTTTTTTTTTTTTTTTAACCCTCAGTGTCGCCCCCGTACCGGACCGGGGACCGGCAACGGGATCGCAAGCCCCGGCGTTGCTCCCGAGCCTCGCCCAGCCAGTGAGCGGGAGCCGGCCTATATGTGGGATCCGAACCCTCGGACGGGAGAGCCGCCGCGCTTCCCAAGCGGCGCACCATCCAGTGCGCCACCGGGCCGGCCCAAATTTTCCAGTTTTCTATTGGTTATTCATTCATAGTTTTCTTCCGTGTCATAAAAAAAAAAAAAAATATTTTGCATGGCTTTAATGTTTTTTAATTTATTGAAACTTGTTTTATGGCCTAGGATATTGTCTGTCCTGGACAATGTTCCATGTGCACTTGAGAAGAGTATATTCTGCTTGTTATCAGGTGGAGTTTCCTGTAGATGCCTATGTGGAGGGAAATGAAGGAAAACACATGTTAAAGATGGAGGGACTCTTGCTCTCCAGGATTGAGACTGTATCTGCAGTCTCAAAGAAAATAGACTGGGTCAGCAAGAATTTGCAAGGCTTAACTGCAAACCACAAACTTCCTTTTGAGTTACCTAGGAGACAGGGAGGTGTGGGAGGGGCTTACAGCTGGCTGAAACATATATAATACATGCTTGTGGACAATAAAATTGCTTAGTGCATGCACTAAGCCCCAGAACTTTGTGTCTGGTCTCTGGTTGCCCACCTCCCTGGGTGGCATGCCCTGAGCAACTCACCTTGCTGCACTCTCTTGGCAGGGCTGCTTGGGGCCCTGCTCCCTGGGGGACTCCTGGCAGAAGCAATGTGTAGTTCTGCCTCCTGAGACCCCCAGGACTAAGAGAAAGGTGCACCTGTGAAGTCTAATTTATAGTGTTGTTCAGGTCTTCTATTTCCTTGTTGATATTATACCTAGTAGTTATATCCATTATTGAAAGTAGAATACTAAAATTTACAACTATTATTATTGAATTGTCTATTTCTCTCTCAATTCTAGAGCCTTTTGCTTCCTGCGTGTTAAGGCTTTGTGGTGAGGTGTATGTACATGTTTATAATGGTTAAGTTTTTCTCACGAATTAACCCTTTCATCAGTATACAATGCCGTTCTTTGTTTCTAGTAACATTTTTTTGCCTCAGAGTCTGTCTTCTTTGATATAGACACTTCAGCTCTCTTTGGTTACTGTTTGAATGGTAGATCTTTTTCCATCTTTTTCCTTTCAACCTATTTGTGTCTTTGAGTCTAAAGTGTGTCTTTTGTAGATCATATATAGCTAGTATACAGTTGGATCATGGGTTTTTTTTTTTTAATCTATTCTGTCAATTTCTGCCTTTTAATTGGAGAATTTAATTCATTTACATTAATGTCATTACTGATAAAGTAAGATTTACATCTGTCATTTGGTTTCTGATGAGAAATCAGCTGTTAATCTTCTTGAGGATCTTTTGCATGTAACAAATCACCTTTCTCTCGCTGCATTCAAGATTCTCTTTGGTTTGGGCTTGAATTATGATGTGTCTAGGTGTGGATATCTTTGAGCTTTTCCTACTTGAATTCACTGAGCTTCTTGGACGTGTAGATTAATATTTTTCATCAAATATAGGAAGTTTTCAGCCATTATTTCTTCAAATATTCTTTCAGCCCCTTTCTCTCTCTCCTCTTTTTCTAGGACTCTCATTATGTTGGTGTGCTGGATGGTGTCCCACAGATCTCTCAGGCTCTGTTTATTTTCCTTCATTCTCTATTCTTTATGTTCCTCAGAATGCATAATCTCAATTGACCTGTGCTCAAGTTCAGTCATCCTTCTGCCTGCTCAAATATGCTATTGAGCTTCTCTACTAAATTTTTATTTCAGTTAATGTATTTTTCAACTCCAGAATTTCTATTTTATTCTTCCTTAATAGAATAATTTCTATCTTTTTACTGATGTTCTTTATATCATTGAGATATCATCCTCATACTTTCCTTTAATTCTTCAGAAATTTATTTCCTTTAGTTCTTTGAACATATATAAAATAGCTGATTCAAGGTCTTCATCTAATAAGTCCAATGTCTGGCTTCCTTAGGGACAGTCTCTATTTATTTTTTCCCTGTGTATGGGCCATACTTTCTTGTTTCTTTGCATATATTGTAATTTTTTGTTGAAAACTGGACTGTTTGTATGATAAAATGTGGCAACTTTGGTAACCAGACTTTTACACCTCCCAGTTGGTTCTTGTTGCTGATTGTTGTAGTAGTTGTTGTTTGTCGTGTTAGGGAATGTTCTTAACTAATTCTGTAAAGTCGGTATTCTTTGTCATGTGTGACCACTACAGTCTCTGCTTGGTTAGCTTAGTAATCGGTTAACGGTTGGGAAAAGATTTTCCTAAACACCTGAAGCCAATACATCTCCCAGTCTTTGCTAGAGGGCTCTGTGTGCATGTTTGAGCATGGCTTCAACACTCAGCCTGACACTCGTCAACTCTGCCCTACCACCTGCTCAGAGCCTCAAGGCCAGCTGGAGATGAGAGCTTGGGGCCTTCTCATGTCTTTCCTGGGCATGGCACATCTTTGGGCATTCACACAGCCCTGCCTATGCATGTGGCCTTCTAGATTCCCAGTAATATATTGGAGCTTTTCTTTTTATTTATTTTTTTCCCCCTACAGTCACCAGAAGCTGGATTTCTGAGCTTTTCAAAGCCCCTATGGACATCTCATGCTATACTTTTTCTCTTGCATTTTTTGGTTAGCCTATGTGCACCCCACTTCTTATCTATCACCCCAGGAAGCTGCCAGGGTGAACTCTGAATCAAGTCAAATACAGACAAGCTTGCAAGACGGGTCTTCCAGGGAACCACCAGACAGATCAAATAATGACAATTTTTTGCACGTGAGACTTTGAAAGAGCTCCAGCCCCATTCTGCTCCCTCCTGTGGCTGCCAGGCTACCAGTTTGCACTGAGAGTGCAGGATGTTATTTTTCAAAGCTACCACGGAACTGGAGAGTGTGAAATCTTAAATAGGGCAAGTTAAACTCACTGTTCTCACCAAGATTCAACTGTTTTTCTTGAATAAACTTTCTTTGGATTGCTGCAAACCTTTGGATAATTTCCCAGAGTTCTGAAAAAGTTGACTCTGACCATTTTTTCCAGTTTTCTCATTGCTGTTGAGGAGGAGAAAATTTTCAGAGGTCCTTACTTCCACCATTTGTGATGATGGCATACCCAGAAAACGGATTTTTTTTTTTTATCCCTAGTAAGACCAGAACAAACCTGCCTACATCAGCTCTGAACGTCTGTGCCTACCCTCTGCCCCTAGCCCTGAAGCAGCCAGACACCCAGCCTCCGTGACTATACTCCAGGCCAATCTTGATGTTGGGCATAAAAAAGATTGCCTGCCCCTTCTACTTTCAATGCTCTTTTACTTTCCTTCTTCCTTTGGAAGTAGGAGCCAGGATGGCTGAAAACTTCTCCTCCAAAACTCTCTGTGGTGGCCCCACTGCCTCTTGGCCTTCCGAGGCCTCCGATCTCCTTCTCGGACCTGCTGCCTCCTCCCTAGGGGAGCTTTGAGGTTATGGAATAGACGTGGGCTCCCATAAATCTCCCTGCCAGATTGCCTGAGTGCTAGAGCTCTAAAAGACTGAAGCGGAGCCTCTTTGCCATGATTTATTCAGGAGCCTTGCCTCACTCAACATCCATAACCCCTTTCAGCGGCTTTTCAAGGCAGATCAGACCAGCCCAGGCTCTGCGGCTCTGCTGCTGTCAGAAGGGCCCCTGTGGGGGCAGCGGGGATCCAGTGGGACCCACCCTCGAGCAAGGCTTTGCCCAAGCAGAGAAGCTTAGCTAAGAAAATGCATTTCTGGGCCAGGACAGTCCAGGGACAAATGCCTTGGACTCAGAGGGATATCAAAACTTAAGGACTGAGTACTTTAGTTGTTTTCAAAACCAGCTTTCCTAAACATGGCTCCGAGTAACAGGGCAGGTCCTCTGTGCACACGTGGGAAAATGCAAACACAATCTATCAGGACAAAAAGTAGATAAGCTTCACATCTTTTTAGGAAAAGCACTAATAACGGATCACAGTAAAGGGTAAAGCTCCTCTGTGAGTTTCTTTCCAACGGAGGCAGCAAAGATACAGAGGACAAAAGGGAGCGAGTCCATGCAGCGGGAGAGATTTTCCCAAATGTTCTCACCTTAAGGGGCCTTTCCACATGCTTTTCCCCCATGGTGGAGACTTGACTGTCCTCTTTGCCTGACTCACTCCATCCTGAGGCTCATCCTCAGTCTCAGCTACCTCAGTCACTTCCTCCAGGAAGCTTTCCCTGACCACCCCCCGTGTGTTTCCCCGCCACTGCCACTGTAGTGATCACAGCACGGGCTGTGCTCCAGGGCCCCCTTCCTGCCTCCCAGGGGCCTGTCCTGTCCACCGCAGCTTCCCCAGTACCCGGAGTGGTGCTCAACACACAGCAGGGGCTCGATGGAAATGAATGAAACTTGCGCTCTGGGAGTCTCTCCAGAGATTTTGTGTGGGCTGGGGGGAAACTCAGGTTGATTTGAACCTAGTCCTGATTCTAAAAAGCCACATACTTCAGATCCCTCTACCAGCCAGCTGCAGGAAAAAAAAGAAAGAAAGAAAGAAAAGTGAAAAGAAAAAACCCCATACCTGCCAAACCAAGAGAAGCAGCATCTCTCTGTCCCTGCTCCCTGCACCAGGAAAGGAAGCCTGTGCCTCCTTTGACCTCCCCCTCGTCTCCTTCCCCGCCAGCCTGCTGGGACACCCGGAAGGGCAGCCTGGTGGCAGAGCTGTCCACCATCGAGTTCAGCCACCGAGACCCCGTGTACGGCACCATCTGGCTGCAGTCAAAGACAGGCACTGAGTGCTTCTCGGCATCCACAGATGGGCAGGTACAGACTGTCCAGGCCCTGGGAGGGGAGGGGGACAGTCACATTTCATGGTTTCCCATCAGAATCACCCAGAGAATGTTTCCTTTTACATTTTATTTTTATTATTTTCTTTTTCTTTTTTTTTTTTGTCTTTTTTACTGACCGGTAACGGGATCGCAACCCTCGGTGTTGCGTCCGTACGGGGGACCGGCAACGGGATTGCAACCCTCGGTGTTGCGCCCACACCACGCTCAGCCAGTGAGCAGGAACCAGTCTCCACATGGGATCTGAACCCTCGGCGGGAGCGCCGCCGCACTCCCAAGCGGCGCACTCTCCAGTGCGCCACCGGGCCGGCCCTACATTTTATTTTTAAATCGCATAGTGGGTTATACGTGTACGTGGAAGAAAACCCAAAACGTGTAAAGAGGCAGATAGTGAAATGCTTTTCTGCTCCTCTCTGCACCTGCGGCCCCTCCCTGTAGCATCCGTTTCCTGTCCGCCTTCGGAGATAGTCTCTGCATCAAGCAAACACATATCTCTTCTTTGCTCTTTCTTTTTGCACTCGATATTTTTTATTTATCCTATCGTGGAGACAATTTCATATTTCATAGAGTGCCGCCCAAGCCCAGGATGGCATTATATGGGTGTACCATAATTTGTTTAAATGGATTTTAATATTTTGTTGCTACCAAAAACATGCAGCAAAGTGTATATTTGCACACACATTATTGCACACCTGTACACCTGTGCAGGTAGGGTACAGCACACATTCCTAGCAGTGGGATTTCTGGGTCAAAGTGTCTGTGGTTTGGGGTTTTTTTTTTTTGCACAACTGGCTGGTTTGGGAATCCAAGCCCTCTACCTTTGTATGTGCATCTTTAACATTGCTAAGTATTGCTATACTGCAGGGAGCCTTGAACGATACAGATTCTTGGGCCCACTCCTGGCAATCTTGATTCAGGAGGTCTGGGGTGAGGCCCCAGCATCTGGATTTTATGCAGCTTGCCGGTCACCAGAGTGATCAGCCAGGCTTGGAAACTGTGGACCAGAGCAGTGATTCACAAAGTGTGTTTATTCTCATGGGTGGCTGGGAGCCTCCATCCTTTGTGCCCCAGTGGCCAGCCCCAGGAAGGTGGAGGGGGCGGGGAAGGCAAAAGCCAGGGAATTGCGGGAGCTCGAGGTCTCAAAGTCTCTTCCACCTCCCGCCAGGTCATGTGGTGGGACATCCGAAAGATAAGCGAGCCCACCGAGGTCGTGATTATGGACATCACCAAAAAGGAGCAGCTGGAAAATGCCCTGGGGGCCATTTCCCTGGAGTTCGAGTCTACTTTGGTGAGCATCCCTTGCTTTTTCCTCCAACTTCCATTACCAGGTCAGACGGGGGTGAGGACAGGCATGGCTGGCGTCCACCTGGGGTGCCAGCCCCAGGGAAGCTATTCTTGCTGCAGCCATCCAGACCCATGTGCTCGTTACAACAGCTTTCCAGCAGGGGCTGCAGAGCTTCTTGAGGAAGGAAGCCAGGCTCATTTCTCACCACGTCTCCCACTGGCTAGCGGCTGGGCTGGACAGAAGGCAATCTTTTGGACAAAACAGGATTCCAGAAAAGCCCTGTTCTGTGGGGAGAGCTCTAACCAGGGCCAACACTGGGTGGCCTGTCTCTGACACAGGCCCTGCCCCTGCCTTGTGTGGGACCCTGGGCTGGTCCCTTCCCTTCCTCTGGGGAAGGAAGAGGTTGGAGAGGGAGATTAGAGGCTCCTTGGAGAGCCAGGCATGATTACGGTGTTTAGTAACCGAGAAGGATGGATAACTAACAAAGTTGAGCAATAACGTAAATGTGTCAGAGGAGGGAAAACTCTGGAAGCAGCAAATGAGAACCCCTCTCTAAAGCAAGAATACAACTTTCCCAGATGGCTCTTGGCTTGGGCTGGCTCCTGGTTTTTATCTTACTGAAGGCCAGGCCTGGTTCCCTGGGGCTGCCACTGGTTTGCCTCGAGATCACGCGGCATCATTCCTAGGACCTTGGGAGGCTGGCCTCCCATCTGCCCTGTGAGTCCTCACCCAAGGTTGGGGACATATGCTGGTGGGATGAAGAGGAAGGCAAGTCAACTGACTCCCAGTCCTGGCAGAAGTGGGGGGACAAGGCACTGGGCGTGTGGAGATTGGGGTGGGAGGGCTCAGAAAAACATCTGTCCTGGGTGCAGGGATTTCTAGGCCAAGTGCTAGATTGTAATGACCACGCCAGGGCTAGTCGCTGCCTCCTCCACGCCTGTCCCTTACTGAGTGCCCGCTGTATGCTGGACACTCATAGCTCCTTACGTGATGAGCTCGCGTCATCACCCGGAGCTGTCTCGTGAGGTGACGTTATTATCCCTACTTGCCCGATAAACAAGATGAGTCTTAGTGAGGTAAAGTGACATGCCCTAGTACATGGCGAAGCTGGGACTCAAAGCCAAGGCTCCAACTGCAAGGCCCAGGCTGTCCACCCCCGTCCCCACCACGAGGTCTGAGGTCAGAGGCATGATGCACCACTTGGATCTGGGTGGCTTTTCTCCCTGACTCGCTCACGGGAGCCTGTACTTCCCTTGATGACTTACTCCTCCGGGCCTCTCAAGCTGGGTCTTTCCATTTCCCTTTAACACCCAACTTGTAGTCCAGTTTTTTTTGGGGGGGTTGTTTTTAAATTGTGGTACAAAACACATAACATAAAATGTTCCATCTTAACCATTTTGAAATGTATAGTTCAGCAGTGCTAAGTATATTTGCATCATTGTGCAACTGGTCTCCAGAACTTTTTCAGCTTGCAAATCGGAAGCTTTGCAACCCATTAAACAACCCCACACTACCCTCCCCCAGCCCCAACAGTCACCCTGCTAACTTCCATCTCTTTGAATTTGTGTCTTCTAGGTACCTCATGTAAGTGGAGTCATACAGTGTTTCTCTTTTTGTGACGGCCTATTTTACTTCGCATAATGTCTTTGGGGTTCATTCATGTTATCGCGTTATGTCAGCCTTTCCTTGCTTTTTAAGGCTGCCTAGTATTTCGTTGTATGTATGGACCACATTTTACTTGTCCATTCATCTGTCGTGGACATTTGGGTCACTCCCACCTCTTGGCTGTATTAATTCTTGGCTTGGTTAATTCTGTTGTGAACACGAAATACGACGTAGCTCAGTTTTGCAAGAACTTTTGGAAGGGCTGTGGCACCTCCCAGGCTGGTGTCTGGTGTNAATAGAGCCATCTGGGGAGTCCTCATTGCAAAGGTGGGACCTGAGTGAAGTCTTGAAGGAAATGAGAATTAGCCAAGCAGACATCTGAGGGGAAAAGTGTTCTGAGCAATGGAACAGCTGCAGCAAAGCCCCAGAGGCAGCAGCCTGTGCATTTGAAGACCAGCAGAGGAGCCTGGTGTGGCTGGCATGGGGTGAGTGAGGTAGGGAGACAGCAGGGACGAGGTTAGGGAGGTGACAGGGCAGACCTTGGAGGGCCTTGAGGGCCTTGGAAAAGCTTCAGCGTTCACTCTGAGTGAGGCCGGGGCTATGCAGGATTTGGAGCAGAGAAGACAGCAATCGATTTACATCATAGGAAGATTAGCATATTCTCTCTCTATTGCTGCCGACCGAAGTACTGCAGACTTAGGAGCTTGAAGCAGCGCACATCTGTCATCTCCACAGGTTCCTGGACCGGGTGTCTGGATATGGTTTGGCTGGGTCCTCTGCTCAGGGTCTCTCCAGGTTGCACTCAAAGTGTTGGTTGGGCTGCGTCCTCATCTGGAAGCTTGACTGGGGAAGAATCCACATCCATGCTCCCTCTGGCTCTTGTCAGATTCAGCTCCTGGCAGTTGTAGGACTGAGCTCCCTGTTTCCTTGCCAACTGTCAGCTCCTAGAGGCCACTCCCCGCCCCTTCCCTCATGATGCTCTCTCAGGTCCTCTTACAACATGGCAAGATCACGTCTCTTGCTCTACATAATGTCATGTGATCATGGGGCTGACAACCCACCACCTTTGCCATATTCTGTTGAGTTGAAGCAAGACAAATTGTGGCCATGCTCAAGGGAAGGGCATGACTCAATGGGGGCATCGTAGGGTGTGACAGCCTGGTCATTGAACTGAGAAGACTGTCATGGGGTTGAGGGTAGAAACAAGGAGACGGGTTAGGAGGCTGTGGCAACACCCAGGCACAAGGTGGACAATTCTCAGCCTGAGCAGTAGCAGGGAAGGTGGGGAGAAATATATTGAAGAATGTCCTCCACTGTTTGGTTCAAAGGGGCTCTGGGGGACACTTGACACATTTTTGGTCGAGTACCAATTCCAGCTTCTCCGCCACCCCTTGGGGAGCCACCACCGGCTCCCCCATTAGGACAGGGCTGGGCGGTGGGATTTCCAGCACCCTCCAGCTCCCCCTGGTGGTGGCAAAGACGTCTGTCTCAGCTTCCTAGTCTCCTGAACCAGCAGGACTTAGCTAGGTGAGCATCTNCTTCCATCTCTTTGAATTTGTGTCTTCTAGGTACCTCATGTAAGTGGAGTCATACAGTGTTTCTCTTTTTGTGACGGCCTATTTTACTTCGCATAATGTCTTTGGGGTTCATTCATGTTATCGCGTTATGTCAGCCTTTCCTTGCTTTTTAAGGCTGCCTAGTATTTCGTTGTATGTATGGACCACATTTTACTTGTCCATTCATCTGTCGTGGACATTTGGGTCACTCCCACCTCTTGGCTGTATTAATTCTTGGCTTGGTTAATTCTGTTGTGAACACGAAATACGACGTAGCTCAGTTTTGCAAGAACTTTTGGAAGGGCTGTGGCACCTCCCAGGCTGGTGTCTGGTGTCGTCAAGGCCCTGCTGTTCCCAGCCAGAGGGGATGGGCTGTGAGGGGAGTGGCTGGGGGCCAGGAGGGCAGGGGGCAAGTCTTCTAGACTCAAGTGTCACATTATTCGTTCAGTTGTTCAACATATATTTTTCAAGCTCCTACTCCGTACCAGGTACTGCTCTAAACAGGTAGTATACATCAGTAATCACAACAGACAGGTATCTCTGCCCTCAGGGAGCTTGAGTTCTAGTTGTGGAACAGACAGCAAACAAATAAATAAAACATATAGTGCCCTGGAAGGTGATAGGTGCTGTGGGAACAGGACATAGAACGAGGTAAGGGGCTTGGGAGTTGTGGGTAGGATTGAGGGAGTCAGGCTGAATATTAAATAGAGCCATCTGGGGAGTCCTCATTGCAAAGGTGGGACCTGAGTGAAGTCTTGAAGGAAGTGAGAATTAGCCAAGCAGACATCTGAGGGGAAAAGTGTTCTGAGCAATGGAACAGCTGCAGCAAAGCCCCCAAGGCAGCAGCCTGTGCATTGGAAGACCAGCAGAGGAGCCTGGTGTGGCTGGCACGGGGTGAGTGAGGTAGGGAGACAGCAGGGACGAGGTTAGGGAGGTGACAGGGCAGATCTCGGAGGTCCGTGAGGGCCTTGGAAAAGCTTCAGCGTTCACTCTGAAGGAGGCCGGGGCTGTGTAGGATTTGGAGCAGAGAAGACAGCAATCGATTTGCATCATAGGAAGATTAGCATATTCTTTCTCTTTTGCTGCTGACCGAAGTACTCTAGACTTAGGAGCTTGAAGCAGCGCACATCTGTCATCTCCACAGGTTCCTGGGCCAGGCGTCTGGACATGGTTTGGCTGGGTCCTCTGCTCAGGGTCTCTCCAGGTTGCACTCAAAGTGTTGGTTGGGCTGCGTCCTCATCTGGAAGCTTGACTGGGGAAGAATCCACATCCATGCTCCCTCTGGCTCTTGTCAGATTCAGCTCCTGGCAGTTGTAGGACTGAGCTCCCTGTTTCCTTGCCAACTGTCAGCTCCTAGAGGCCACTCCCCGCCCCTTCCCTCATGATGCTCTCTCAGGTCCTCTTACAACATGGCAAGATCACGTCTCTTGCTCTACATAATGTCATGTGATCATGGGGCTGACAACCCACCACCTTTGCCATATTCTGTTGAGTTGAAGCAAGACAAATTGTGGCCATGCTCAAGGGAAGGGCATGACTCAATGGGGGCATCGTAGGGTGTGACAGCCTGGTCATTGAACTGAGAAGACTGTCATGGGGTTGAGGGTAGAAACAAGGAGACGGGTTAGGAGGCTGTGGCAACACCCAGGCACAAGGTGGACAATTCTCAGCCTGAGCAGTAGCAGGGAAGGTGGGGAGAAATATATTGAAGAATGTCCTCCACTGTTTGGTTCAAAGGGGCTCTGGGGGACACTTGACACATTTTTGGTCGAGTACCAATTCCAGCTTCTCCGCCACCCCTTGGGGAGCCACCACCGGCTCCCCCATTAGGACAGGGCTGGGCGGTGGGATTTCCAGCACCCTCCAGCTCCCCCTGGTGGTGGCAAAGACGTCTGTCTCAGCTTCCTAGTCTCCTGAACCAGCAGGACTTAGCTAGGTGAGCATCTTTCCTTCTTCCTGGAGGAAGCCGGTAGCCTTGGCCTTGCTCACAGGGATGGCAGGGGACTGTGGGTCACAAGGATCCCTAGAGGGGCAGTTTTCTTCCACTCTGGTACTCAGCCAGCAGGCAGCCTGCCCCACCTTCCTGACCTGTGTGATAGCCAGGAAGAGCCTCGGGACCATGCTGCACCCTCTAGCTGGCCTCTCTGTGATTGCTACACCTCAACCCCCGCCATGCTACATGAGGGGGCTCTCTGAGGCTGAAATCTGGTCTTAGATGCTGCAGATATTGCCAGATGCTAGGGGCTAAGTGTAACCCAGAACCCGCTGGGAAAACTACTTCCACTCTTCCCTGCTAGGGACCTCGACTCAGACCACCTCTCCTGTGTCCATCTCCACGGTCTGGCCCTCCTGTGATTGCAGCGTGGCAACCCCACACACTCACAGATCCCTGTGCACAGGAGCTTTGGGTGGCCCACTCCACACAAGGTTAATGGGGTAACGGGGAAAAGTGAGGACCTGCCTTCCACCTCCACCTATGGAAGTCGGGGCCAGAGATTTTTGCTCCCCGTTACTCCCTAGACCACCCTAGCCCTGTGTTCAGCGCAGAGCTTTACCCTGTAGATCACAGGTGAGCGTCCAGGGCCTGGCAGGAGGATACTCCCCTACAGAGAGAGAGACGTACCTGTGTGTTGTGCACCTGGATGCTATGACGACAGGCATGGGATCCATTGATCTTTAAAAAACAAGGAGATTGGGCCCCAGTCTGAAAAGGAAGATGAGACATCTCTTCTGGATATCTTCCAGATACTCTCTGTGTACATTTTTAGTAATTTTCTGGTAGAAGGAAACTGCACAATAAAAAGTTTGGTTGGATTTTTTAAATAATTAAAGCCTGGCTGGTTAGCTCAGCTGGTTAGAGTGTGGTGCTGATAACACCAGGGACATCTGAATCTGTTCGCAAAAGCTTTTCCTGCGCAGCACGACCCTCCCCTCACTAGGTCACCCATTCTTTCCGTTTGGGGCACTGAGGAAACAGTGCAGTTGTAGGCTCAGGTCCTGCCCATGGAGGTTGTCTAATCTGGCCTGGAGGTTAAGACATGGAACAGTGAACGAGGCAGGGCAGAGTGTGATCGAGGGGGCTGCGCTCAGAGGCGTGGAGGGAGCGCTGGGTTAGAAGTCAGGAGAGCAGCCTTCGTCCGTGCAATCCACAATGAAAGGACTGCCGGAGCCACAGAACCCAGTAAGACAAGCTCGCTCCCCGCAAGGAGCTCTCAGACCAGTGGGGAGACCAATTACATCATCGACTGCTGGTGGCTTCCCGAGTGCTGGACGGCCACCTGCTCTGAGTTCTCAGGGACATCTCACCCAGACAGTGCTATGGCTAATGTCACTGTCATGCCAGATAAGGCTCTGCCCATCTTCTGAGTAACCTGGGCTACACTGCATGCCCTCTCTGGGCCTTGTTTACTCTGTCTGTAAACAAACTATGGCAAAATGCTTAGTGGACACAATGATGCTCTGTGAAGGGGGCTAGTGATGACCCTCCAGAGACTGGCAGAGTCAGGGAGGACTTCATTAAGCATGGAATCCTTGAGCAGTTTCCAAAAAGCGGGGTTCTAATGAGGCTGGGAGAAGTGGAGACAGCTTCCCAGGAGGCATGGTGCATAGCCAGAGCAGAAGCTTGAACCGAGGGCCCCTCTAGCACCTGCAGACACCTCTGGTCACAGAGCCTTTCACTCCTGTGTCACCCCCTCCATAGCCAACCAAGTTCATGGTGGGCACCGAGCAGGGCATTGTCATCTCCTGCAACCGCAAGGCCAAGACACCTGCAGAGAAGATAGTGTGTACCTTCTCGGGCCACCACGGCCCCATCTACGCCCTCCAGAGAAACCCCTTCTACCCGAAGAACTTCCTGACTGTGGGCGACTGGACAGCGCGCATCTGGTCTGAAGACAGCCGGGAGTCATCCATCATGTGGACCAAGTAAAGGGGAAGGCTAGGGACAGGAGGGGAATGCAGGGAAGGGAGGGGATGGAGGGGACCCAGCTCAGCCCAGAAGCACCCTGAACCTCCGTGGGTCCGTCTGTAAAATGGAGCAACACCCCTCCGCAAGCACCCGAGCTCGTGTCGGGGAGTCACTTAACTTGGCCACTTCACGAAGGGATAAGGCTCAAGCCACCAGGGTTACTACTGACAACGGCCGTGGGTCTGTTTTCGTAACCCTCACAGCGCCCCTCAGAGTGGTAGCATTGCTCTTCTCGTGTCACATCTTCTGTGTTAGGGATCTGAGCGACAGAGAGACAAAGCCACCTGCTCCTGGTCTGCCACTGGCGAGGAGCCGAGCTAGGGCTTGTACCCAGGGAGCTTGGCTGGAGAATCTGGGCACCTCAGCACGATTCAGCTGTGCTGTGTAGCCTGTCAGGCTCGGGCCTCCTCTGCTCCGAGGGGAAAAACAGAAAGGGAGCTTAAGGCAGAGAGCCGTGAGCACCATAGTTAGATCAGAGAAGCTTGGACATAGTGTCTCCCATCTGTCCTCCTAAGAGCCCACTTATCGTTCCAAAAAGTGCCTCTTCTCTTCCCCTTCACCTACTAACTAGGTCTGTAAGCCCCCAATTCTAACCAC